CCCGCCCCGTTTCCCAAACCCAAGAAATACACACCAACAACCAAAAAGCAATAAACCCAAGTTATATACATAAGGTAAACTAACTACTCTAGCCTCGAAACTAGCTACAGTGCACTGAGGACAATCGTCTATCCTCACACCATAAATATAAAGTGCAAGATCTGAAACAGAAATCGGCTATAATGGTTTGCCATTCATTTCTTTGCTCGGGTGCTCTAAACATGTACGTCTGAAGGATGTTTCTTGAGGGTTCTAAAGAGTTAAAAGAATCGCCTGACTGATGTTCAGAAGTGGGTTATAAAGGGTTAAGTAGTGTCTTGACTGATGTTCAGTTGGTGGGTTCTAAAGGGTGAGAAGAATCGTCTAACGTTCAATTGTTCAGTTGTGGTTTTTAAAGGGTTAAGTAGTGTTGCATGTTTGTTCAATTGTGGGTTCTAAAGGGTTAATAGGATTATCTCACAACTGTTTAGTTATGGGTTCTAAAGGGTTAACAGTATCGTCTGGCTGACATGCAGCTGTAGATTCTAAAGGGTTAAAAGAATGGTTTGACCGATGGCCAGCTGTCCTTACCACGAGCTCTTGCAGCTTGTTCTCCCACACAGACAGGTAGATGCCCGTGCTGGCCGGCCGGTGCAGGCCGTTCCCGCCCCCGCCACCGCTGTAGCGGGACATGGCGGACGTCTGGGTCCGAACACGACTTAAAACAACACGTATTATAGGTGTTTATAGGTGTACTCCAAAGTCCGATCACGACTTAAAACAACACGTAATTATAGGTGTTTATAGGTGTACTCCAAAGTCCGAACACGACTTCAAACAAAACGTTTAATTATAGGAGTACTCTGTCCTGGAAGAGATTTTGGCCTTCTGGGTCCAAACACGACTTAAAATATAGAGGGATCATACGCGTACTCCGTCTTGGAAGTGGTGGTCGTGGTGTCGTGGGAATCTCTCCTATAATCGCTCGACGTAGACCAGCTACATTCAGGCAAACTCCTCACAATAACTTTAGGAATGTCTAGAGACACCAGCAGGTAGCGCAATCCTCAACAACAATTGGGCCAAATCCGAAAACCAGAAGGACCATGTGGAAAAAGAAGTCTGTCTACTCTTCACAACTGAAGCCCCCAAGCCCCTAACCATCCACTGGCGATCCGTTTTCGTTTCTCGTGTCTTACATCACATATCTCTCGTGGTCACACAACTGTTGTCACTGCTAACATCACTGGTTACAATTACTGAAGAATACCCACAGAGAATTAAAGAGTGTGTGACTCGGTCAGTGACACAGCTAAATTGTCTTATCAAGCATTTTCCTTGTGTATGTGAGACTCCATGATACGACTAAATCATATTATCAAACACGTTCCTTTTGATTCACACACGCCGTCGCATCCAAAGATGATAACACAGCAGCCAGCACACACAGTGTAAATCCACGAGAATAAAAGACGTCAAATATTTCTCCAAAAGAAGAATGTTGCAATGGTTTCTTCACCACACCCTAACACAATTGATTAATAAGTGTTAAGAATACGCTGCTGCTATCCAGAGCACCGCATCTTAAGCAGCATAGTGTTGTTTTATGCTATCTAGTCGGGATTTAAAAAATGGAACTTATGCATGAATGAAAAAAGGTCCTCATGCAAAATGACGTCAATTGTTTCTCAGGTTAAGTACACGTTTTACAGCCCTTGCAACACAATTAGGTCATAGAAGTGCTGACGATTAGACGTGTTACAAGATAGTAACAAACACAAAAACAAAGTGAGATAAGGAGACGAAAAATGTTTGACAGGAAAGAAGGAGCAAATCCAACCAGAACAGCCGCCAACCATCCACAAAATGACGCCATGCCAAGTAACCGTTATGACTTCCGAGTCAGCAACAAATAAGTGCACAAGACTTAAAGTAGTTAAAGACGTCACCACCTTCAAAGAGCTCAGCCAGCAGTAATCACAGCAAACACACGGAGGAAACTCGCGAGACCGTACGATACTACGCAGTTCTACAGCTCAACACGACACAGTTCTCGGGCACCGGTTTAGTTAGTACATGTAGTTTTAGTTTGAGTAAACAAAAGAGCGTCCGCACAATAACGGATATTTTGTTCTGGGATAAAGCGAGACAGAATAATGTAAATAGAGAAACAGTTAAGAAGTTAAACAAAATAATTGCGCCCTTTATCCACTTAAACGCTCCGGAAAAAGTGACGGCGAGGGTTTTCATCCCCTGCACTGCTACCGCGCGAAATCACTACATGCAATACACAGTTTATTCACCAACGTAACCCAAGTCAAAATTTGGTAACACTAAGTAGCCAACTGCAGGAATACGTCATGTACTCAGAACAGCCAACAACAGGCAGCAAGAGGACAACTACAGACTCAAGAGAACCCAAGAAAAAACACCGAACAAACACACACACACACGCACACATATGCTACAAACTCAGAACACACGCAAACAACAGCGGCAAACGAAAGACCGCTTAAGTTATTCAACCTTCCAAAACAACACAGATATAAAAACCCACACCAAACACACACACATATGCTAACAAACCAACGTTGGACAACGTC